AAAAACACTTAACATTTAATAACACTTGATGACACCTGTTAAATGTAATCTCAATTTAATTTTAATATTGTACATTGCAATGCTGTGATGCCTAAATTCGCTTTTTTTGGATGAAATATTTTCTAATTATAAAACCAGCCATTTATCAGTTGTTGCAGCTTAGTTGTGTATATATAAGTAATCATTCATTTATTTGAGCTTACAGCTGATTGGTCTGAGTTAGTGAACATTGTACAATAGCTTGCAGCTTCTAGTGTGGACTGACTCCAGCTGTTGTGGTCATCAGTTGTGTCTGTTGTAGACAGGGTGTAACAACTTTGAGTAATATGCTGTTCTTTAAATATGATGGTTTGGACGTCTGTGATCTAAAGCCAGTGGTTTAAATGGTTGCCTCTGCTGCTTTCAGTGGTTAGAAGTTACTTACCGATTCAAATGTGGGGATGCTAATTTTACTACGCTTACACCAGTTTGCAAAACACTTTGTGTTCAGTGTGCTTTTTCTTTCTCTTGAAACATGTGAACTAAACCAGCTCAGGTTTATATACACTGACACCCATCCATTGAAAATTCAAAGCAAAATCTGTGGCGAATGGGGAAGTTTGCTGTCTTTATGTGGTGTGGAGGTGGCATTAGTCAATCTATGAAGCGTGCTGTATAGGAGGGGTTTCCCCGGCGCAGGGAGTGAGGTGTGTGTGCACTCCTGACCTGCTTTTGGCTCGTCCTGATGTGTTGCCTTATGTGGGCAGCAGTAAGGTGACAGAATGCCAGGCATTCCCTGTAAATGTACCTTTTAAAAACGCTGTGCGTAGAAATTTGCAATAGATACAGTGTTGGGTTGTTGTTTCCATCAACATTAGATGTTATCATCTATCATAAGTTGATTATTAGCCTTGATGCTGGCATGGCGTTAAAAAGTGAATAAATAATAAGTTGATTATTTTTAAATAGTTAGATCGCAAAATGTTTGCTTTGACCTTAATGTGTTCTTAATTCATGGCCACAATTTAAAGGGATAGTTCACCCAAAAATGAAAATTCGTTCATTAATTACTCACCCTCGTGTTGTTCCAAACATGTAAGACCTTCGTTCATCTTCAGAACAAAAATTAAGATATTTTTGATGCATTCCGAGAGCTCTCTGACCCTCCCGCAGACAGCAAGGATCCTGCCACGATCGAGGCTCAGAAACGTAACAAGGACATCATCAAAATAATACGAAGCTACGAGAATATTTTTTGTGCGCAAAGAAAACAAAAATAACGACTTAATTCAACAATTTGTCTCCTCCGCGTCACCCTATAGCGCCATTTTGGAGAGTATCACATACGTAAACAACGTTCTGTGTCAGCAGCACCGTACACAGATAAGTTGTGTACACTTTGATCTGAACGTAAACAACATATCCGCGAACATTGCATACGTTGTTTACGTATGTGATACTCTCCAAAATGGCGCTATAGGGTGTAAAATCCTGTGTGAAAAAAAGTGTATATTATGTTAGTATAGTGATACGTGATATTTGCTTTGATAAATGTGATGTTTGCCTTGAGGGTGCAGTCTGAAATTTTTAGCATTTGAGATCGATATCATCTAAGGGCATCTAGGAGCAGTGGAAGTTTTTCTTTTTGGAAGTTTGCTTTTCATTTGACTAGCATGCTAAATAGTGTTTGCCTTTATTTTTGCATATTCATGCTCATGTGGTGGAAGGGTAAGGCACAGAAACAAAGTGAAGCTTTTACGCTTGGGGTGTTTGAGGGACAAGCTGTAATTTGTGGTGCGGTGGGCGGTTAGGTGCTCAAGTGAGTTCATCTGTAGTCAGTGGCAGGTGTGAGGAAGTGTCTGGGGTTCAACAGCCTGTGGTGAGTGAAGCATCGTCTGGTGGCTCAGTCTAATCACTAACTAGAAACTGAAGAGACAGTAGCATCAGTACTCAAGTACTGATCGAGTCAATGATCGCCTTCCTGAGATATTGATGCTCCTGTTCAGGGTCTAAACAAAAGATGGGTTTTACTGATTTTCTTCGTCTCGCTTGCCCACTTGACTTTTTCCGTAATATTGCTCAATGCGACACAGTCATTGACAAGTCATCTCTTTTTTCCCCTTTTTCCCACCTCAAGCAAACACTCATGTTGTCATGATTAGAGTTTGTTTCTTTACATCAAAAGATAAACAAGTGACTTTCAAATTGCATTTTTTGCTTTGTGATATAATATAAATTTGTAATTTAGCATAATAAAATTAGCAGAAATAATATTCATATATGTGTGTGTGTGTGTGTGTGTGTGTGTATATATGTGTGTGTATATATATATATATATATGTGTGTGTGTGTGTGTGTGTGTGTGTGTATATATATATATTTACTACTTTAATGCAAAAAAAAAAGAAAAATCCTAAAATAATTAGAATTTTCTTTAGCCAATTTTTTTCTAATAATTAAAAAATATTCTATTTTTTATTTTAATGAATAAAATAAATAAATAAAATTCAGTAATATTACCATGACGTAGAAATATTTACAGTGCAATTTAAAAACAAATTTCCATTACAGTAATTTCTTCACCACAAAATGA